ATGACTCAAATATAACTTGAAAAAATAAAACAAATAACTTACTTTAGAAGTCTATAATATGCAAACCGGAACGTTTCTTGGACAAAGACAGAGAGCAACACGCCAAAGATTAGCAGATATTTTTGTGTTGGTCCATCTTTGTTGTTGGTAATGAGTCTTGCTAGGAACCAAAAGAGTGAAGAAATCAGTAGAGACACCAACCAGAAGAAAGCTCTGAAAATTAAGATACACGAAAATTACAAGTGAATATAAGCACAGGACTAATAGTCATTAAAAAAAAAAAAAAACCTGCTTGAGACAGAATAGATTTCCTAACTTTTTAATCAGAGAAAAAAGTATCTTCCATAAAGGATCCCCAGGATCCTGAGCAACACGCATCTTCCTTGTGCAGACACAAGTGCTCTCTACAAGGCAAGCTGGGTTTGTCCAGTAATTACTTGTTTTCAGTGAGGCTATGATGCCGCCTGCAGATTCTATTCTTTCCTCGCTGGAAATCTGGTTACTCACTACTCTTCCTAACCAATGGCTTCCCACCGATGTGCCAAAACCAACAAATAACCTGCAACTATTCCAAGTTTTGCATCCTTGAGACCTACCAGAAATTACGGGTTTGACAATGAGGTATGCGGAAAGATAAGCGGGAGGACCTACACCTCCATTAAGAGTAATTAGTATAATATCCTTAGGTTAAAGACCTACGCTCTCATCTAGGGCAGTGTTCGAATCTTGATTCTTGCAACACTCCTGTGGATTTTAAGGATTTTGGCAAACTTAAGGGACCGTTATCCTAAATCCTTGTTTTAAGTAACAGGCAATTTAGCGCTTTCACTACAGTTGTGAGAAGCGACTAAGTTCAAAAAAGCGGGAATCACTCCCCAAGCCGGTGCACGGGCCAGCGGGAGCTGTCAGGAAGGAGAGAACGAGGTGAAGACCGCATTCGCCCCAGAGTTCGGCCTTCACCAGGCTCCCAGGAGGCGCTGCAAGGCCAGGTGCATCTGTCTTCACAGGTTCCTTCCACCTTTTGCCGCACATTTCAAACTGCAAACAACGGCGCTATTATTAAAAACCTGAGCTCAGCGCCGGGCGTGGAGGTGCGCGCCTGTAATCCCCGCCGAGAGGCCGAGGCACACGCATCGCCGTGAGTTTGAAGCCAGCCTGGGCTACTCAAGCGAGCCTACGACCAGCCTGCCCTGCACAGCGAGGTCCTATCTGCAAACAAAACAAAAACCTGAGCGAGCCCAGCCCTAGCTACCCCTTCGACCTCCTGGATGGGCGATCTGGGGTGCACAGTGAGCTGCAGGCAGCACCAGCCCGCGGGTAGTCACCCCACGGGCACAGGACAGAGCTGCGGTCCAAACTCTGAGCGCCGTAACCCCTGGAGATTGCGGGCGCCGCTGAGAAGGGGCATCATCAATCAGGCATCAATCTCCGGAAAACCAAGGATGCCTGCGCGAACTTGGTCATAATTTTCCTCTTCCGGGCCGCAAGAGGTCCTCAGCGCCCGGGCTTCGCCCGCGCTGGAGCCCACCGGGGCGGCCAGCCGCCGGGCTCGGGGCCCACCACGCCAGCGGGCGCGGGCGCCGGCTCTCCCAGCCCCTCCCGCCACCCAACGGGCCTGGCCGTTTGGGGGACCAGGGGGTCGCGGACACCCGGGGGGAGGGGCGCCCCAGCGCCCGGGTTTCCCCGCGCAGCCGCCTCACCCGGCGATGAGGAAGATGACACGCAGCGGCTCGGTGGCGATGGTGAAGACGTAGAGGGCGAGTGCGGGCCCGAAAGCAATGAAGGCGCAGCCGAAAAACACGGCCGCCGTCATGGCGACCGCGGAAGCCTAGGCGGGGACCCTGAGGGGACGCTAGGGGCGGGAGGGCGCGCTGAGGGCCGGGGCGGAGTCAGGCGGTCTCCCGCGGCCGTCAGGGGGCGGGGCCGCGCGGGGGCGTGGTCACGAGAAGGCGTGGCCTCGGTGTCGTCACCGGGGGCGGGGTCCGAAGCTCCCCCAGGCGCTTTCAAGGCCCGGCGCAGGCTGGGGCTGGGGCCCGGGCCAGCAACTGCAGGAGCGCGACTCTCCAGCATGCCCACCTCGCGCCACCTGATGCCTGGGAGTGTTCTGGTTGCACCACAGCTCTTGATCTGGGGGCAAGAGGAGGAAAAGGAAGAGGAGGAGGAAAAGGAGGAGAAGAGATTCCAGGTCAACTAAAAATCTGCGCTGGGGCCAGATGAGATTCCTAATTATTAAACAATGGAATCTTTTTTAAAGCACCTTTTAAAAATGTGCAATTTCTGGAACATCACGCTTTCCTGGATTAACAGTGCCCCCAGCAATAATTCACAGGTGGAAAAGATCAAAAGGTGGTGAGAGTAGCTGTGCTTTTCGGGGTTGTTTTGGCGAACTCATTTTAATTGCACCCCCAAATCTTCAAAAAGCTGTTTTTGAAGGCATTCTCTGACTACCCTAGCGCAACAGTAACATCTTCCAGCTGGAGTGCTCGTTTTGTGCTCTCCTGAGAATGCAAACTTCTGAAGGGCAGAGATTTCATAAAACATCTTGTCAACAAAGGAGTACTTTAAAAAGTGGCACTTATATACTATTACATTAAATTTCGGAGGTTCTTAAATCAGGAGTAGCAGGAGTACGGAAATAGACACATTTGAGAGAGATTTAGGAACTGTACGAAGAGACCCAGGGATTAATGAACTGAGTCACAGCGAGAGGGAATTGTCGAGGAGAACGGCCTCTGGAGATTTCTGCCTTAAATGGTTGTTGTGAAGATGGAAAAAGAGGGAAAGGAGACACAACAATGGGCATCATTTTGGATATCCTGAAACTTAGATGTTCGTAGGACTCTGTGACAAGGTGTTTAATAAGCAACTGATAGGTCCAGGGGAGACCTGAAGTAAAAATCTAGACTGAGGCTCCAGACTGGCGGATGCCTTGAAGAGTAGGTAGAATCACTTATGAGTCAATAAGGCAAAAGCAGGGCCCAAGCCAGAAGTAACCTTAGGATGACAAGAGGAACCCGAAAAGAACTAAAGCAGGAGCAGCCAGGGGGGTGATGAGAAAAATCGCACGTGCTACTCCCGAAGCTAAGGGGAAAAACTTTCGGAAAGAAAGGCTGTTGGACGACTACGTAAGGTACAGGTGAAGGTGCCACGAGGTCTAGCCGCGACTGTAACAGATGTAGGAACAAAAGCCAGTCTGAGAAGTTTTTGAGTAAATGTGTAGCAGGAAAAAGAGAAAGGTTAAATTTGGCCCTGGCAGAGAGGAGACAGGAGGTCTAGGATCAAGGGACCTAGCCAACTTCCTTGGTGAGAAGTAGTAAGTTTTTGTACTGCTGGGTCCTGTAAGGAGGCTCCATGGGAGAGAGACAAATTATGACCCCATCACGAATGTGTTATGAGAAAGAAAGGAGAGCATAAGTCAGCCGTAAAAAGTCAGAGAAACTACTACTTAGCTACCTCCAAGAGTGAGAAGTAGAAAGCTTGAGAAAAAAAAAAAAAAAAAATGCTGGAAGTCTGAAATGGCCGTGGGATGAATGGAAAGGCTGTGACTAGAAACAGGGCTGGTGCTGTCCACTTTCACTTCTCAATGAAAACAAAACATCAGAAACAAAATGGCAAGGAATGAAAAGGCAGGACAAGCGATTTAAGGCTGCAGGTTCTACAACAGGATGACCCCAGTGTATGCTGAACTAAATATAAATAGGAAGTAAGGCCATTTTTATAAATCTTTAGATAACTCTAGGTGAAGCACAGTTTCCTAACAACAAATTTCCCGGGCCACAGAGATGGCTCAGTAGAATAAGTGCTTGCCTGGCAAGTGCAAGGGCCTGAGTTCAATCCCCAGTTCTGGAAAACAAAAAACAGAAAACCATGGTTTCAGTCATACACTTAGTAAATATACGAATCATGTAAAAACTGTGTGACATACTGCACAGTCAGTAATGTTTCATTATGTAGTTTTTATTTTAGATGAACATTATTGTAAAAAAAATTTTCACCTGGAATAAAATCTAGTTTTAAAAAAACCACAGCATCATTATCAGTACATAGTTAATGAATTGGCTTAAACAAGATCAACCACATGACACATCCATTTTATCTGCAAGAGATTTTCACATTAAGCCACTAGAGCAAAAATAAAATATATCTAAACATACATTATAGGATAATTCTTGGGGAAAAGTAGATAGTTCCCTTTAGGGGCATGATTTTAGTTGTATAGTTTATGGTGTTTTGTAATGAACTACAGTGTCAGCCGCAAACAAAATAAAACTTATCTGTAAGGCATAGGAATGAACTATCATAATTAAATTCACATTTTTTTCAAGGTAAAAAAATGAAACAAGTTCTATGAGATCTTGGCAACAAGAAATGCAATTGCATATGGCACACATTTCAAGAAATGAAGTGAAATTTGAAAATATCCCTAAAATAACTGCTCATTTCCATACATTTAGGTCATTTACATTTTTATAGTGAACTTTACCCCCATTATTTTTAGTAGTCTAAAGAAAGACTGATCCTATTATAAAATTTTGCTAGGATTTGAAATTTTATTAGCATATCCTGTTTTTCTAGCTCCTTTTACAATAAGGGATTTCATTTTTAGACATTCCTCTACTTTCAATGTAACAAAAAAGAAAAGGGAATGTTAAAAAGTCTAAAAAATGCTCCAAATTTGAGATAAGTGCAACGTAATGAAATACAGTTTAAAAATTTTAAGCTTGAAGCTCATCTTTAAAGATTAAGAATTAAACTTACAAAGGAGTCTAAGTCTTAAAAAGAAGGTCTGCTTAAATGTATCATTCACTGATCACAGGAAAAACTTCATAAGCCTTCATACAGACTTGCAGCAAAATGTAATTATAATCTCTTACTTAGAAGGTTCTGCAAAAACGTATCTATATTGCACAGCTAAATTTATTAATGGGGGCAAGGAGATAATACTTTTCTTTTTTTACACTGCTGGAATAACATATATGTTCTACTCTAAATGAAGATATCACCTACCTCTAAGTACGCCTTCAATTCAAAACAAAACAAACAAAACAGATATTCTAAATTGTGTTGATGCTTAAAGGCTGGCTCACTATTTTTACACCAGGTATTAGAATACTAGTTAGCTAAATGAGGTATAATTTAAAAATAGTCCTTCGAAGTAAAGAGTATAGTCTTCTGAAAATTTATAACAAAGACTGCACAAAATCTTCGTGTAAATTGTAAGAAACCCTGCAGCATCTACTAACTGATGCACAGGTGGATTATTTAATTATAATCTGTCCCGAGTAAAATGTAGCTAAAATAAGTTCCCAGCGAAACATCGCACAAACAATTCTCATGTTTAGTTACGGCCAGCTTCTCTTGTCTGATGCCCTCAAACTCTATTGGACAAGGTCTGATCCAGTCATCCAGGCTTAGTATACTGATAATAAAGTGCAGCCACTGAGCCCCTGATACTGCTGCAAAGATCTGTATGCACCTTTATCCATAAGACCACAAAAATGTTCACCAAAAAATCCTAATTTCTTCAGTTTCAGCAGGGAACACACAGTTATCTGTCACTAAATCCATCTACAAGTAGAAAAAATAATGCACAGTATGTACATTATTAAGCAAAATGGAATATTTATTGGGTCATCTTACCATGCAGAAAGTAAATTTCCTATCGTCTTAGCTCAAATTATATACAATTTAGCAAAGCTAAATGTAAGAAAATAGCAAGGACAATTTCTTTCTATATAACAGGGTGTATACTCCCGGTGTGCTGCTACTTCACAGAGCACGTTTAGACTCATTGACCTTTTACAGGCTCTTTCAAAGGGAAGTTCATGGAGACTAGTTACACCTACAGAAGGCAAAAGGAGAGTGAAGAAACGGAACAAAAGCAAAGCAACGGAGACTAACCACAGAATGTGTCAGTTTTGGTTTGCAGACAACCCCTGAGATAGAAACCAAAGTGTTAAGACACCAAATAGTCAGAGGTAAGATACTAAGAGAATTACATTCATACATGGTGTCATAGCACTTGTCCTTTAGAAAGTACATAATTACCCCCCAGAGAGCTTAAGTGCTTGGATTTTCCCCCTAGATGATTAAACAAGATGTGTTCAAGAAGTTATTTTTTCTTTTCAAATGTGTATGTGGAGATGACAGACACAACTTTCAACCGTGGAACTACCAATTACACTGGAATAGTAACGAGTGACTTTAAGCTTATCTGTAACTAATAAAATGAACAAACAGAATCAAGGAGGCTGACACTTGGCCACTGCAAGTTTAGTGTAACCATCAAAAACAGCGCTGGCATGTTTGCAGCTTCTAAACTGTGTCTTAAGTTTTAAAACAAGTTGAAAAGGCTGGCTGACCCAAGCATTTAAACAACAAATCCTACTCTGAAGCAGAAATCTTTATGCTAATATGCAATCCCACATTTCCACTTCTCTATTCTGTTCTTAACTACCTAGCATGACAGCAGCCTTGGCATGCATGGCAGAAAGATTAATTATAATAGAAGTCGTTTTCTTAGACACCTCTTTCCTATTCCCTTCCGTGTTATGACACTGAAAGCTACAATAGAAACAAGGAATTATAATCTGAATTTGGCACATAAATGAACATTACTTTTTTTTAATGTGATGGTTTAATCTACAGTAGGAATACCAGTACCAATGTTTGGGGAGAAAGGATTTGGCCCAAAAGACTGGACAAGGTTCTGTGGTATTGTACCTCAACCAATGGAGCTAGGTACTACATAGTACTAAGAGCTGTTTTAAAACTGAAATTCTGATCATATTTTCTCTAATAAAAATCTGATGAAGATTTTTCCTAGAAGTTGTACTAAGTCCAAGTACTTGTATTTAAAACAAAAGAAAAATAGACCCAAAGATTATTATTTCACCATAACTAGGACTACCTCTTAAATTTATATTAATGAGTTAATCCTTCTCATTATAGATATGCTTTCTGCAGACTAAAATCTAAATCTAAATTTTGTTAATTCTTACAGACAGGGATTATGATAAAAATCAGGTACTACAACAAAATCAGTAAGCTAAGGGGTGAACCTAAGAAAAATATATATATTCTGATGTGATGCTAAAATAAAACCCTAAATGATATAATTCTACCTATAAAAATTTCAGTTTAAGAAATTCGGAAATAGAAATACAGCAACATTCAAATGTGTTACTTAGTTTTAGATAACTAAGTAATACTGCTGAACATGAACAAGTATAGCAAACACAAATCCCAGGATAGGTGAGATAACATTTCCAAGTGCAGTTTATATAGATTAAGCAGAGGTAATAAATTTAAAAAGCAATTCATTGAGCTAACCAGACTCTGACCCCTTCAAAAAAAAAAAAAATCAAGAATGAAGCAAAATTCAATAATCTGAATAAAGATATGACAGCCTCTGATGAATAAATGGGCCTTTTAATTTTAATTAAATCTTAAAACTGTCCTTCAACCTTAGTTAACCTCTGCTTAATGTTTGCTGTCTTTTATTAAACATCCCAAGTGCACATGTCTGTCTAGAGCCTCATGACAGGAGTCTAAGATGGTGCCGCAGAAGGAAAGGCTAACAGTGATGTGCAAAGTGGAAAAGAGAGACAGCAGCCTCTGCAGAAAGCAGGAAAGGAAGGAAAAACCAGCCAGGTCCTGCATGTGTCTCCATGTCATCGCTTCCAGATTTGAAAAAAGGAGCCTGTCCTTTTTCGAGGCCACGAAGCTGGAATCCGCTTGGCACTCTGTCGAGAAGTCTAAGTTTAGTGGTACTCTCCGCAGCAGCCGGGCGGGGACTCTCAGGAAGGGGTCCTGTGCTTTCAGAGAAGCAAGAAAGGACCCTCTAGGTGTGCTGCAGTCTCTCAGAAGCAAACAGTTCATCAAAGCAGTGAACAGCGGAAGAAGCTGGTCTTCTTGGATCGGTTCTCTGTTATTTTCACTGGTCCACCTGCTCCTGACGAATTGCTGTCATTCTAAAACACAGACGATGAAGTTACCAACAGAATAAAAGTTTCATGCGTTGGTCCCAGCTACCTAGAACATAAACTATACCATGTGAAATGTCTATTCTAGTGAAATGTGTGCTCGCTCGAGTACATTATTGAAGGGGAGCTACTTAAGCTCCAATGTCATCATTGTCTTTGTAGTAAATAGCAGATCAAAAGAAGAAAAATATTCTTAGGGTAGTATTTTTATTTTAATACTGTAATAGGTAGGAAGCTCTTATTTCTAGTTCAAAGAACACATAACCAACGGACCATAAGATTTCAAGGGTAGCTTTGGAAGTAATGCTAAGACACTGCTGGAGACAATTCTGTTTGAAATAAGAGTTGGTGATACAATGTATATAACTTCAGACAGGACTCAGGTTAAACCAGACTTTCAAAGTTCTTCCTCACTGACATACTTTCAATTTAAAACAAAACTTGAGCAACTTTAAGATTATAACTACATAAGTAACTACTGCAGGAAATAAACTATGCAAGCTTATGACAAAAATGTAATTTGGGCATTATTTTAATATTCTGATCAAAATTCAATTAAAGACCACTTGAAGGTCAGATGCCAAGAGTGAATAGCTGCAGTTCTCAAACAAAATCCTAAAGAAACAGAAAACAGTTCATCTGGATGAATATCTGAGTCAAGAGAAGAAGAGTTTATGAATATGTTACAGTCATATTTTAGCTTTTGTATTTCTTACGGTTTGCGTCTGGTTGTCGCCCCAAAGCTGCACACAGTCAAGGGGCAGCCTCTGGAGTTCTGGCTGCTTGCTGGGGGTGTGGCTGCTGCCCCGCTCTGGGGCGGGTGATCTGCGGGGGGGAGAGGCTAGCGAGGGCCTGAGCGGCCACTCTTTCTGCTCCTCCTCACAGCCACGAAAGGCTGTGCTCTGCATGTGCTGCTCTGCCTTGGAGCCAACTGGTGTGGACTGAAACCTCCAGTGACCTCCACTGTGTTAAATAAACCTTTACTTCCTTCATTTCGAGTGTCAGGTATTTGTCCCAGCAATGAGAGAAGAGTAACACAGTATCGAATATCAAATAATATAAAATTATAAAAGATACAAACCATTTTTCTGTTCAGTTTTGTCATTATATCTCGTGCAAGTGTAAAAAATGCCTGAAGGTAAAATAAAAAATTCATTATTGTATATTTATAATATTCCAAATAGAAAAATGGAAAATATCATTATTTTATCATGAATATAATTTTTAACTAAGAAACATAAATGAAATCACAGAAAGCTCATAAACACTGCAGCTTCTTTTTTCAATTACATAACCAACATTTGCCAACATTATCAAGCTATCCTTCATTTACTCATCCAATATCCTTTGCATGGCACAAGTTCTTAATGACTCGTTATTTTTTATTTATTTTTAATTTTAAAAAGATTTTATAATTATCTGATATATATATATATAGGCTATAACATTTACTATCATTTTTAAACTGTCGATCTTCCTAATTTTTTCTCTGATATTTAGTTGTATATGTTTACAGCACTGAGTTGGTCCACGCCCATACACGTGCCAATTCTTTCTTTGTCCCTGAACCCTCACATGCTTCCTGCTCCTTCCAGCTCTTGGTCCCCTTCATGACCCGTGTTAGGAGCAGCTTCCTCAGCACCCTGAGGCCCAGGGGATGCCCTGCCTAACCATTCTCCCGTCCCCGAGGAGGGCCCAGCGCCTGGTCTAGGAGATGCTGCTAGTATCTGGTCAATGGACGAGCAAGTGCAACCCTCCAATTTAGGGTCACAAAGATCTCTTCCTTCTGCTCTCTGCTAAAGGTCATACGTGAGCAAGGCTTAGCACCCATGTCTCCACGCTCCAAAATCTAGACAGAACCTGGATGGAACACAGCTAAATTCCTTTGCCAGCAGTTTTCCATTTCAGCTGATATGGAAGTAGGACAAATCTGAGTGATAACTCATCTATAGTGTTGTGACTCAAACCAAAAAAAAAAAAGACTTTTGAGACAGGCTCTCACTACGTAGTTCAGGCTGGCCTTGAACTCACAGCGATCCTTTTGCCTCAACCTTCCCAAGTGCTGGGATTACAGGTGTGCACCATCACATACAGGGCAAGCTAAATACTTTAAAAACCTATTATCAATCACCTTTTTTCTACAATGCCAAGAACTCTTAAAAATTTCTTCCATTGGCCCCATGTTAAACCCACCTTTATGTCAGCCTTGTTATTTCTACCCATTTCTGACCCCCAAAACCTGTTCAGGAGAAGGGCCATTTCCATCCCAATTACAAGGGCACAGCAGAAGCACAGGTGCCACTCACCATCAGTGTCCCACCGCTGCGCGGGTCACCTGTAAGTTTCTAAGTAAGCCCATGTGAGTGTTCATGAGGCCAACAGACTAAAGCTGTGCGGAAGCTGCTACCTTCCCTAGACTCCCCTCTGGGAGAAGCAGCTCAGGCAGCTCCCGGCTCCACACTTGCCACCCGGCGCTCTGGCGAGGCAGCAGCTGTGGCGAGGCGCAGGCCCCTCAGAGACAGGGCCTGCGCCAGGGCCAGGGCAGCGAGTTCTCCCTGCGGGCGACGCCGTGCCGCCCTCGGCGCGCTCCCTGTTCTCTATCTTGGCTACTCAAGCTGCCCTTTGCAGTAGAGGGAAATCTGTGTCTGTGAGCAGCAGGAAGGCCCTCTCTGCTTAACTAGGCTTGTGTAAATAAATCAGTAGAGACTTCCTTTTTCCCAACACTCATTAGCCAACCTAAAAAAATGACTGTTATTTACAACAAAGAAAAAGTTCTGATTAGTGTCCACTGACCAGTAGTCATTTTAGTCTCCAGTTTTAGCTATTATGTTATGATAGTAGCTTTAAAAAAATCAATATTAAAAAAAATCAATATTTAGGAGATTCAACATTAGCAAGCAAATTACATGTATTATACATATTAAATGTATTATTTTATGATCAGTGTAAAAATGGTTCTGAAACAAACAAAAAAATTATCTACAAAGATTCTGCCCTTGGTGAAAAAACTTAAAAAGACTTTCCAAATGATCTGGTTTTCTTTAATATCTAGCTTAACAAAAAGTTATGAAAGCTACTCCCTGATAAGACACTTTCTTATTTACACTAAATGCCACAATGTTACAATGTATGGTGCTTAACTTACTTTAAATGTCTAGGCAAAGGGAACGTGTTCAATAACCTAACAGTCTGAGTCTCTCTTGAGACTGACAGCACAGACACAAAAGTCATTTAACTTGTCTGCTACTGGCTAGCTACAGAGGGTGCCATGTAGCATGACAAATGGGCAGAGGACACTGCTTGGCTTCAGAGTCTAGGATTTCCAGTTCCTAAACAAAGGACGATACTGAATTTAAACCGAACTTCTAGCCTCTGTTGAGTGACTCTCAATTGAGCAACCCAGTATCACTGTGTGCAGGCTGGATGCTCAATGTTCGGCAACCTGAGTCCATACGGGAGTCAGAGGCAGGAAAGTGCATAGAAGGCTCCAAGGTGGGCCAATGGAAAGCCACCCCAGGGCTGGGGATTTAGCTCAGTGGCAGATCACTTGCCTATCAAGCATAATGCTCTGGGTTCAGTCCTCAACACCAAAACAAATTCACCAAAAATGCTTTCCTAAGTCAGAAAATACCAAAGCTTTGCGAACCATTGGTCCCACTATCTAACAAGTCATCAAACACTTCCTTACCTCTTCTACATTCGTGCTGGACTTTGCACTGGTCTCCAAGAATTTAATCCCATAGTCAATTGCTAACTGAAAGGAAAACACAACAATAAATTCAGTGAAAGCACTTTAACATAAAAAGTTTTTTCTTTTCAGGTTTTTTTTTTCAAAGTCCTCAAAGTAGCCTATCTATCTATATCACAATTACTGTGGTTCTCAAATTTCTTTGCTTAACTACGGCAATTGAAATTTAATAATTTAACTGTAAAAGTAGCACATATTTCATTTTAAACAAATGTCAGTGTTTTTGTTTGTTCTTTAATATATAAAAGGAAATCTATGAGATGGGTTCCCTCCTATACCATTAATTTGAGTCATTTTCCCCTTTTATCTGCTTGAAAATCCTCCCACTTACTATGCACTTTTTTTTTTTTTTCATGTGTTTAATACAGGGTCTACAAGGTCTCACTACAAAGATGGGACTCTGGTGATCCCTCTGTTCAGCCTCCCAAGTGCTGGAATTACAGGCACACCCCACCACACCCAGTCTCAATGGTCTCATCGCGCCCCAGGGGCAGGACCAGCAATGGCATGCTGAGGATCGAACCCGTCCCTGTGTCTGCCTAAACAGGCACTTTAATCCTCTGAGCTATCTGGCTGGCCCTACTATGCTGACTTTTAATCTGAAAGAGTCCAGAACAGAGCAAGAACTCTGAAGCACCTCACTGCTTTAACTTCCACTAACTGCAAACTCCTCCATATTGCTATCTGTGCTCAAAGGACTCCCAGGTTCATTTATATCATTTAGTGAATATTTTTAGGGTAAAGTTTGCAGTCAGGTAGTGCAAAATATACCTTGCAGGTATCACTGAAAAAAAGATCAAAGAAAAATTTGAAACTTAAAAAGTGAAACCTCTAGGGCTGGTGAGATGGCTCAGTGGTCTAAAGCACCTACTTAGAACAAGCTTAGCAAAGCACAGGGACCGCGGTTCAATTCCCCAGCACCACATGCCAGCCCGCCCCGCCCCCTGGTGGGCTGAGCTGGCCACACACACACACACACACACACACACACACACACACACACAAATAAAATAAATAAATTTTAAAAAAAGAGAAAATGTTAATCTAGTATAAAAAAAAAGTGAAACCTCTAACTTAGACAATGCCATAGAATATCTACAAAAATATAAACTCTTTGTTTATAGGACACAAAACTGAAAAGCCTACAAAGAGCACATCTAACATTTGATCAGCTATAAGTTTATCCATAATGACCTAAATCTGATATTTACTAAAATATCCTTAGTAAAAAACATGAATATGATTACTGCTGAACTTTGCCTATTTATTGTTTTGTTTTGTTTTGTTTTCCAAAGAGAATGAATTATTTTAAATCTCAAACTGGGCTTTTCACACAGATCTAGAAGAAAGAGCTTAAACTCTATGCTGCAAGGACCTTAAAGGCCAATTTGTATCTCCCAGAAAACAGGAGCAAATTCTTTAGGAGTGAGTCATGACCACACAGTATACAGAGCTAGACTCTGAATACTAATTCACACCCCTCAAGTATGAATTACAACTCTTTGGTGGTGCTGTCCCATTTTGAAGGATTAAAATACAGATTTTTAAAGCCTAAATCAACAATTAAATGACCACTAAGAAAATGAATGTTGACTGCCAGCGGCGGCAACCCTCATCACCCAGGGTAACGCACCTTCTCCCCTCTCTCCTTCGACACTTGTCTCTTGTCATTCATATCACACTTGTTACCCAGGATCATTCTTTCAACATCCGAGGAGGCGTGCTGCAAAGAGAGAACAGCACGCGATAAGGCAGCCTGAGAGAGAGCACAGCTACCCATCAGGAAGCTCCTGACCTGCCGGAAATATATCAAGGCCTTTAATAATAAGACAATCCTTCATTCAACACAAGGTATGACTCAGAGAAAAGTTTAGAGATGGGAAGAGGGGCAGCGCCACAGTTTGGACCTTTCACAGCGCCTGAACACACAATTACCCCAAGGGTTCATAGCCATTGTTTTTCTTTTCTTCTCTCTTTTTTTTTTTTTTCCAGGAAATAACAAAAATAAACTTATTGTTATCTAACAGCAAAACCTCCCAATATTTATTTGGGTCAAACACAGAGAAAAGCTTAGTATTGAATGACACAGTAGAAAAAGTATTCTGGATTCTGAACAGTTTAAAAAATAAATTTATACAGGCTGTTACAAATATGTAAAAAGTTATTTCAGGGTTAAATTTTTTATGAAATACCAGACATTTTTTTTTTAAAAAAACACCTTAATACCAATTTTGCTGGAATTAAGCCAAATTTCAAATGTCTAAAATGGAGGAATGCAAGCAGGCACAGGGGCTGGAGGTTCCATCCCCGGGCCTGCTATGCTAGCCTCACCCCCAGAGTGCACTGAGATGAGATTGAGACTGGGCGTGGTGGCGCGTGTCTGTAATCCCAGTACTTGGGAGGCTGTAAACAGGAGAATCACTACAAATCCAATCTAGTAGTGAGACTCTGAACACCCTGTAGACCATTCCTTAAAAAATAAAAAAATATATATTAAAAAAAAATAAATAAAATGGAGGAAATGTTAGAAGGAAAAAAAGTTGCCAAAGATGTATTTTGTTGAATAAATACAATCAGGGAGCCCAGGGTTTTCATTCCGGATCTTTCTTTTTCGTTTGAGACAGTGTTTCACAGTTCAGGCTGGTCTTGAACTCATTTTGTACCCCAGGCTGGTCTCAGCCTTCTGAGTGCTGGAACGCCAGCCCAGCTCTCCTTTCCACAGCCTGTACCCAGGCTGGCAAGTCACCTCTTCCTCATCTGAGTTTCCTCATGTGTAAAAAGGGGACTTGGATTAAATTATTGTTATAATCCAGCTCAAATGTAAAATTCTGTGAAACTGCCCTCTGTGCACAACCTGCCATGGCCAGGCCGGACACACCAGAGACCTGGGCCTGTACGGGCGGGAGTGGGGCCCGGCCGGGCTGGCAAGCTCCTCAGAGGCAGCGCCGTGGACAGAGACAGCAGGAGCCTCTCCAGTGCCACAGGGTCGCCTCCTGCACCACTGCTCTGTTCATCCGTACCTCTTCGATGTTTCTTATCCAGTTCTTAATATTGTCGAAGGATTTTTCATTTGTGATGTCATAGACCAGCATAATCCCCTGTAAGAAACAAAAGTCTTTATATAGCCTTTTATGCACTTATAACAATGTCAATGTAGACCTTCCTCCCAGAAACCTTTTGTTTGTCTTTTTTCTGTCTTAAAAAGGGATTCATAATGAATTTGCAAAGTACCGAAAAACAAAAATTCTTCCATTGTCTCACTACATAAATAAAAAATCTGCTAATATCTTCACTGTTACCCTTCAATGAATCAGAGACTGTGGTAAAGTTACTACACTCTTCCCGCCCGACCGTGCTTGGTAACAATCAGCACCAACTGTAGCTGAAGGCAAGTTTAGATTAAAACAGAGCAGACAGAGAGGAGAGAGGTAATCACTTCCACTGTTCATTTGTTTATTCTAAATAGAAATTGTGTCTTTTACTGCTTCGCTAAGATTGAGAGGGTACTGTTTTAAAGTTATTTCCTTTTTACAGGCTGATCAAAATGCCATCATTTATGTAGATAAGTCACACGCACTTAAAATATTTGCCACGTAGGTTTAGTTAAAAGTACGGCAGTCATAGTTTTGAAGCTCCTGTGTTTGATATTTCCAAAAGGTTCAACCCCCGGGTATAACTAGTCTAGAATCTAACCTTAGACCACACTCTGGTACTACATGTTAAGACGCACACGTCTGCCCATCCCTTCTACAAATACTTAGCTACATACCATACGTAATCCTGTACTAGATGCTACGAGCAGTGAACAAGATCGTCAAAGTCCCTTTGCCCTTGTGGGGATAGCTAGCAAGGAAAAAGACAATGAACCAATAATTATATGATTGTTGACAAGTGCTGTGGAGAATCACAAGGTATTCTGGGCTCTGTTGTCAGTGCCGTTATCCTAGCTGGCCGGGAGGTCGGCATGGTCAGAGGTTTCCCTGAGACAATATTACAGCCAAGGCCTGAGGACTGGGCAGACAGACGTTAGCTGGGCAGAGGAGTTAGGTTGAAAAATGAAAGCTGCCGCACCTGGCGAAGAGGAGCACCATCACAAGTGCCTCACTGACTCGCAAACGCAGAGCCCAAGGCACCCCCCGGTGAGAGCAAGCTTGGCCAGGCTCCAGGCAGCAGGCAGGAAGGCAGACGGGCCAGCCGTCCCCTGGGACGGTCTTGGTCCCTTCCTGAGTCTTCTTTTCCTCCTGCAGTCTGGCTCAATGAAAGGTACCAGCCAGCCAGTCAGCCTCCACGGACACCTAGGGGTTATCTCCCCATCTGCAGCCAGTCAGCAAGTCCAGCAGACCGATAAGTCAGTATTTCCTAACTCTGAGGGCTCACCTCACATGCCAGTGAGCTGCACCTAAAGGACTGGTACCATCTTCAACTGTCTCCCTGCTTCCACTTCTAACCCCGCTAACCCCCCTTTCACAGGGCACCTATTATCATTTTGTAGCTCCAAATACTTAGTACAAGGGCCGGCCAAATGACTCAGCAGATTAAGGTGCCCAAAAGCAGGCACAGGGGCCAGGGTTCTATCCCCGAGCCTGCCATGCCAGCCCTACGGGGGGCGGCTGAGATAGCAATGGAGACTGGGCGTGGTGGAGCACACCTGTAATCCCAGCTCTTGGAAGGCTGTAAACAGGCGGGTCACTAGAGTCCAACGATCTAGTAGTGAGACCCTAAACACCCTGTAGGCCCTTCCCTAAAATACAAAAAATAATAATAAAATAAAATAATCATAATGCTTAGTACAGTACCTCTCCCATCCATGTAGAATTAAGTTAAAATTCCTTAGCCTGGTAGGCAAAGTCCTTATGGGTCTGGCTTTCAACTTTGAAGTAAATATAAGCGTAAATAAATACAAACCATATAAATTACACACAGACAAAAGAATCCACGAAATAAAGCATTAACAAAAGATCTATCAATGGTAGAATTTTGGAAGATTTCCTAGAATATTCAAAGTTTTCTATATTATGTATATCCATTTCTATTTGCAACCAGAAAAAAATATATCATTCCTGAGGCAGGACTGCCTCGACCTGTGAGGCCAAGGGCAGCCTGTGCCGCACAGTGAGGCGCTGCCTGGTAAACAAAAGGAAAAAAGGAGTATGTGCACAACTATAATTATATACATCATATATATGCATATATGTGTATATCTGTATTTGTTTAAATGACAAGTAATATCCTTCTTGCCTAAAATAGAAATGCATAACTTTGGCTATACACTGTAAAGGAGATCTTATACTTGTCTCAATGAACATAATTTTATTTTTAAAAAAATCAAAGTGGAAAACTGCACTTAAAATGACAGGCAAATTTTATATTTTTGTGTATATTTTATACCACAATAAAAAAGTAGATTCTGAATAATTTGTAATGCAAAACACCTGGCTATGGTATTATAATTAACCAAATTTTAATAGCTCTTTTATGAATAACACTGGGCTTTTATGAATAACCCTGATTATTCACGTGTTGTTAGGGGTCTGGAGATATAGCCCAGCAGCATAAGCCCCTGCCTGGCAAGCACAAGCTCCTGAGTTCTATCCCTGGTACTGAAAGGAAAACAAACCAGCATAGTACATGCTGTCTGTTACAAAGTTTCTCTCTGCTTGATTGTCACAGGAAAACATGAACAGAGCATGTGGTGTGAAGACTACAGACTCTGAAGTCACAATCTTCTAGCTCGAGTTCTACCTTGTATTGACAGGGTGGTCCTAGAGATGGTATGTTGTTATTCTTGGTCCCACAGGACATTGAGGACAATACATCTTCCACATGGAACTGATCTGAGAATCTACTAAGCTATTAATTGTAAGTGATTTAACCTAGAACCCAAAATGAGCTTCAAGTTGATAAATGGTAGTTATTATTAATTTCTATCTTTGGTTTCAGTAGCAAAAGTCATTATAAACTGTTTCCTATGTTTGTTTGTTTGTGGGTTTTTTTATTATTTTAGGGAAGGGTCTACAGGGTGTTCAGGGTCTCACTACTTGATCGGACTTGTAGTATTCCGCCTGTTTACAGCCTCCCAAGTGCTGGGATTACAGGCACACGCCACGCTAAGACAATTGCTGTCTTAGCACACCCCCGAGGTGGGGCCGGTACAGCAAGCCTGGGGATAGAACCCCTGACCCCTGCACCTGCTTGTAGGTGTTTTAATCTGCTGAGCTACTTGGCCAGCCCTGTTTCCTATGTTTGTAAGCTAGATGACATTAATATGAATCAGCTGAAAATACAAATGAAGTATATCCATTAAAATTTTATAACTCTAGTAGCATAGACTTCAACAAGAACAGCTTCCTAAGAATCCAGAGATGGTGTAGGTCAATAGGAAATTTTGATGATATAATGAAATTGTCCTTTTTATTCGGAAGCCTAACTGTCCTGACTGACCAGGATTATTGCTAGGCCTGTGAAGCTGCTGAAATGTCTGCAACACAGCAGAGAATTCTGCATGGTGCAGACCCAACACAATGCTGGTCAATCCCGCACACCTGAGCCAGCCAAGCTACACCTGCCTCAGGTGCCGCTGGCTGCAAATGGTGCGCCCAAGCCAATGAGCACACGAGGGCTCCCCACCTCCCTGGATGCGACCTGAGAGAGCGGACTGCCACAGGGCAGGGGTTCCTGGAGAGTTTTCTAGGACTGTTTCTGGGTCTGAAAGTTTCCATTATTTGCCCTGTCAAGCAAAATGAGACGAAGGTCCCTACCTTCAAAATGCAATAGCTAGTACTACCAGGAATAGCAATATTTTTCTAGTTATTGGAAGTCATGTAAAGAAAGATTAGGCAGAAGATGAAAGAAAATACACAATATTCAAGTGTAAATTAAATAACATGTTAATGGCCTCTGTTCTTGGACCATGAACTGGAGGTAGATATCCAAGTGCAACATTTACTCCCACACTGAGTGCTCCTGCTTGCTCTCTCGTGAAAACAAGTGTGCAAACAATGGGGCTGCACCATTTCCAGAATGTAAAAGACTGGTTCCTAGAAAAGCCTGCATATCTAAGGTGCTTCTCAACAGAATTCCCTGTAAACTACTCTAAACCGTTCCTGTTCAGATATTCTTTTTATTCCTAAAATCCACTATAGAGGACACAAACAACTAACACACCTTCCTGGCGCACAGTTAAGTCCCTTCCCTCTGGTTCTAATCCAAGCAAAACAGAGAGTAGTTACAACTTTTTATAAAAATGATAACCTTTTACCATCTTCAAGGTATCGTAGGGTGGAGTGGAGAACACACACATGTAAGATGGTTAGTGGTGCCCGGACCTCTACAATGGCGAGCTCACCCTTTCTGCAGAGATGAGCGACTGACGCTCAATAATGCACGAGCAACAGCGGAGAAAGAAGGGAGAACAGTGTGACCATGGGGAAACCTGTGCACTCAGCTCAGATTTTTCTAGAGGCAAGGGACAGACATCACCTCTTCAAGCTTTGTCACCCTGGAAAACTTCCAGGAGTATCACAGCCTTTTAAGCAATAAGATGAGCAGGACGGCAAGTAGAATGCAGCTGGACTCTGAATTCAACTGTTCAACCTTCAAAGACTCTCTGGGCATACTGGGCTTCATCATAATCCAAGGCTCCCACTTGGGTCCGGTTTAGGCCTACTTGTAAGGCTCCCATCAGACCTGACTCTCCCAGCCTCCAACCTGCTTGCAAGCAGAAGCATTATGCCCAGCAGGGAACTCATCAGCAAGCGCAGGATGGGAAGGAGACAGGACAAGGAATTTGCAGGTCCTGGGGACATCTGGAGATACCTGAAAATTTACACCAGACACTTCCGGGACTTTGGTGCATGACTGCCAGAGAACTTGACCACAGATGTTTACTAAAATCTTTCCATCCCTATAAAAGAGACGCCCTTCTCTTTGTTCAGAGCAGATGGTCTTATCACCCTTTGCCCACACCCAAAGCTTAAACCCTGCGCCTGCACCCAGGGCTTACGCACATGCCTAGCTGCTACCACAAGGCCTGGGGAGTGGTCGCTTGCTCCGAGTTCATTAGATTAATTAATTCAGGCCTGGAGGGAACTCCAGAAAG